CAGATCAGCAGCGGCATTAGATTCTCACAGGAGCAAGAACCCTACTGTAAACTGCGCATGCGAGGGATCTAGGTTGCACACTCCTTATGAGAATCTAATGCCTGATGATCGGAGGTGGAGCTGAGGTGGTGATGCTAGCGCTGGGGAGTGGCTGCAAATACAGAATGTCATAAGCAGAGAGGTTTGACTGCACAATAAATGTGATGCACTTGAATCATCCCAAAACCATCCCCTGCCCCGTCCCCCGCCCACTGGCCGCCCCGGTCCATAGAAAAATTGTCTTCCATGAAACTGGTCCCTGGTGCAAAAAAGGTTGGGCACCGCTGCTAAAGAACTTTACAGATGCTGGATTCTGCCCCCATCCTTCTGTGCCTGCCATGTGTGCTGTGTGCTTTGCTGTGGCCCAGGTGCCCTGGGCTCACCTCTAGCCAAGAATTCTTGAAAATAATTGTTTACCAGCTCCTTTTCCTACAAAACTCTAGGTTCCTTAAAGCCACAGAGTAAAATATATCTTTATTCTTCTCAGTGGTCTGAACAATATTTGGCACATCACAGAAACGTCTCAAGTATTTGTTAAATAAAAATGGATAAACATCCTTATCCCCAGAAGAGAATCTGAAATGGAACAGTTGTTACAGAGCTATATTTTGAATGAACAGATAAATTTATGAATCACATCTTAGCATAGCAGAAACATGCTCCAAGCTGATTTGGACAGTGAAACAATTAACCTGTGTAATTTTATGAGGGCCCTAGATACTACTTTTTTCTCTCTCTCTTTTTTATTTTTTTGCATGCTTTGTCAGTAATTAAATTCACAATCACATAATATGATGTTTTCCACGTGTGTGTTCAACATGTGATGACGTTTTAACCACCACTGTACACATATGACTAGTGAATATTTGACAGTCTCACTGCCTGATTACCCTCCCCCAAAGAATTCCAAACTTTGTTTCTATGTCATTATCAGTGCAAACTATTTAATTCCGGTAGCTATTTAATTTTGGCAATTTTGAATTGCCAAAAACATGAAGCAATAATCTAAGCTTTGACACTGTGATAACATTGAGGGCAATATTTCTTTAGTGGGTAATGTTTCTAAGAATAAATGTGACCAAATGTTTGCAGACAAAGGTTAGACAAAAATAAATGTGTTACCCGGAAGCCTTACAAAATGGATGCATTCAGTTCGCAATGAGTATTTGCCTAAGACATCACTGTTGTCTATTTGGAACAAGAAGAGGAAAATTTAGTGAATTATTTCAGAAAATGTGTTTATTAGTTTTACTTAGCTTAAATGTATCTCATGACATCAAATGTTTTAGTAGAAAAAGTGCTGTAAAACTAAACAAAAGCACTCCCTATATGCAAAGATAGATTTACAATTCCTGGACCAAACAAATATTTGGGGAAAGGATACATTTCTAGCCAACACTACTGAGGAATTCTTAATCATATAACTTTAATGCATTATAATCACCTTAGAAGGCATTAAAGTAAAAACAGCTATAATTTTTGAGCATTTACTATGTATACATATATGTATACATATATGCCATATATGGCATACATACTATTTATATGTTTATATCAGGTCCTCTTTTT